CTTATGAGGTGGAGGCAGAAAGATCAGGAGGTCATTATCTGCTACAAGGAGTTCAAGGTCAGATTAAGATACATGAGACCCCCGTCTCAAAAAAATAAAATGAAATTCAATAAAATTAAGACTTCAGGAATGCATGTGTATAAGAAAAGTCTATTGGCTAATTTCCAACAGTCTAGTTGAATTAGCAAAGTTTGTGTCTCTTCATCTATGACTTCAAAATACCTCAGTCTTACATATATAGGCACCAGAGAACACATCACATTGTAGGGTTTCGGGGTCCACTAAAATTTTTTTTGTCTTCTACAAAACATGTGCTTTATTAAAACAGGATTTTATTATTTTTTCTTTTACAAAGCCCTGGAATTTGCTCTGTAGACCTCTTGTCTCTGCTTGTGAATGATGAAATCACAGGCATGCACCACCACACACAGTGGTAAAACATAGGTTTCAGTTCACGTATGTCTGGTTCTCTTGCACTTAGAATAACACGTACAAAGTAAGTCCTTAGGTTTGGAAAGCTGAAGATGTGTACCAGGTCTGCTACAGAACTGCTTATTGGTCACTGAACCTGGCTTTGTCTAGCCTCATCCTAAGATGTATGTTCTCATGAGTTCTCATAAACACTCCTACAAAGTAGATGCTGCCCTAGCATTTTATCTGAGAACCCAGAGAGGTAAAGTAACCCTTTCCGAGTGCAGCTCTGATGATACGGCCCAGATAAACCCATTTGAGGACACCGGTTTTCCATGGTCCTTTTAAAGCTTGCTACAGTTGAGGCTGTCAGCCCCAAAGATCTTGTTGCTTCAGCAAGTCCTTTCCATGCTCCACCTCTCACAATAGGGCAACACACAGGCTCTTTGAAGCACAGGCCCTGAACACAACACTCTTTTCTTCAATACCAGATTGTTTAAAAGATTCTTGTGGTTGCTGCTGCTGTTAGCAATGGAGCTTTGCTGTTGGTGATGATGTTGTTCCATTTTGTTTTGTTTTTTAGATAGGATCTCAAACTCACTGTGTAGCCAAAGATGAACTTAAGCTTCTGATGCAGCTGCTTCCACTGCCTGAATGCTTGGATTATACATATGCACAGCACACCTGAGTCATACGGTTCTCAGGATCAAACCCAGGGTCTCTCACATACAAGCCAAGTCTTCTCCCAAATGGTTTGGCTCCCAGACAGGCTCTCATGTGGCACAAAAAGAACCAAGCAGGGACTCGGGCAGGAAAACCCGTGCATCCTTAATCATAACCCAGGGTCTACCACTGGAGCCTCAAGCACATGAAGGAACTTTACTATGGGCACACAGCTTCCCTCTGTGTGTGGAGAAACTCAGAGATGGGCTAAGGGAGCGCTGGCAGAGGGCCAAGGATGGCGTGGAGCCATGGCCAGAGTTACATTTACAATAGGAAAGGAAAGCCAAGCTAGTTTCAGCAAGGCCTGAGCTTCGGTCGGCAGATCTTCCCACATTTTGAGAGGTCGACCTATGGGTAAGCATGATGGGGATTCAGAGTTGCCACAGAGCCGCAGAAGTGCCACGTTCTCGGGGTTTACAACAGGACTTGACCTGGCAGCCTGCTGGCTTCAGAGGCTGGATGGCCATGGCAACAAGGAGCATTTATTGAGTGCTTACTGAATCCTAGCTCACAGGGGTGAATTCTTTTCTTTTCTTGTTTGTTTGTTATATTTTTTGAGACAGGGTTTCTCTATGTAGACCTGGTTTGGTTGCCCTGGATGGCCTCTGCCTCCCTAGTGCTGGGATTAAAGATGTGGTCCACCACCACCCAGGGTAAGTTCTTTTATTCATATTTTCTTAAATTAACCTCAAACAGCCTAAAGAAGCAAGGCAATTCACCCCAAATTTACTAATAAAGAAAGTTGTTCAAGCTACATGGGCTCATGCCTGATAGAGCCACAACAATGCTCTCTTCCAGAACTCATGAACTATTTAGCTCAAATTAAGCTTTATTTTTTTTGGGGGGGGGTTCGAGACAGGGTTTCTCTGTGTAGCTTTGGAGCCTATCCTGGCACTCTCTCTGGAGACCAGGCTGGGCCCGACCCAACCTCAAATTCAGCTTTTAAAGAATAAAATTCTCTTTCTTTTGTTCTGAGGTAGAGTCTTGAAATAGGATGCCTTCAAACTCTTACCAAATACCCAAGGATGATCTTGAAGTTCTAGTCCTCCAAGTGCTGGGATTGCAGGCATATACCACCATGCCTAGTTTTTACATGGCACTAGAGAACCAGACCTACAACTGAGCATCTTAGGCAAACACTCTACTTGCCTAGAATGAGATACTGAGATATATCCCTAGCCCTCAGAAATAAAACTTCACTATTCCCATTCTCTTTCTTTAAGACTGAGTAAAGAATTCACATCTGGCTGAGTGGTGGTGGCACATGCCTTTGATGTCAGTGCTTGGGAAGAAGAGGCAGGAAGATCACATTTGGGGCCAGCAGGATGGTTAGAGGAGCTTGCCACCCATCTTGATGACCTGAGTTTGATCACAAGACCCCACAGGGTAGAGAGAACTGACACCCGCAGGTTGCCCTCTGACCTCCATAAGTGTACACTCACAATTCTTGTACAAAAAAAAAAAAGAATATTCTTTAAAGAATTCACATTCTGACTTCCTGCCATTCGGACTTTAACCAACCAGGCTTAATGAAAGTTAAAATTAAACACATCCAACAATAGCGACCATTGTGTTAGCATTTCAATGAATCCTTTCAGGTCCTCCTCTGAGTTCTTATTGAATGATCAGCATATTTAGAGGAAAAGCCACTCTTGAAGGGGCATGGTAGGTGAAAGCAACGTGGGAAAGTTGTTTTCATTCTTACTGAACACAGGAGGCAAATCCCTACCACCTCCCTGTATTAAAACACGCTGTGGTAAACGGAACCGTAAGAAACCTGAACAAGTCCACTGCACACAGCACACAGCTCCACCAACACTAACTAGCCACAGTATCTGTGGGCTTGCTCTTTCTAAGTACATTCATTTGGATGCCATCAGTCCTACACGAGAGGATGAGGACATTTAATGCAACTGCTATTCATACATCCACAGACAAGCGGCATTTCTGTCACAGTCTCTTGTCTTCCACAGACAGTAATACCCACAAGATTGCCCTGTGATGGTCTTTGTGGTAGTCAGATGATGAAATAAACTGACTGCTAGAGTTTAACTATGTCGTCTTATAGTTGCTTCATTTTTGAGAAGGGTAAAATGTCTTCTTGAGCAATGACTTTGTCAATACCTGCTGCCTGGCTTCAGAATTTCTGCAGAATGATCTAGAGAGGTCCAGCTTGCAAGAGAGAGGATTATTTTCTTCCAATGTCCAGTTCTTTGACCAGGACATATTCCCGTATGACACTTTTGGATCTAACCAGCTATGTTTGGAACTTAGCAGATAAATAACAGATTCATGTCACATTAAAAAAAATAATGGTAAAAAATTTGGAAGAAAATTACTATTTCTTTTCTAAGGACACAACTTAGTGAGAGTGATTTCGAACATTCCACCTCCTGAAAAAACGGTAATTATTCTTTTCTCTTAACCATTTTGCTGAAGTCCAAGTGATGTATAAGTAGTTTGTATAATTAATATACACAGTTCGATCAGTGGGGGATAAACATTCCTTCGTGAAACCATTGCCACCGTGGAGACCACAGACATACTCATTGCCTCCAAAAGTCTCCATCCACGGATTGATTGGTGATAGGAACTGATTGATTTGAAGTGCTGGGACTCACACCAGACCCTCCTCACACGTGCTAGGCAGGGTCTATACTATCCAACTGCATCTCTATCCTGTATTTAGAACACTTGAAACAAGATCTCTCCTGTTAGAGTGCATTGATAAATATGCAATGAAGTTTGGTAGCTATACCCAAGTCTGCATAAATCCCTGGCACAATTCCTTTTCCTTGAACTAATCTAAGAAACTAATCAGATTTTATTAACACATGAGTAATCTGCCAGGTGTTTTTGATAGTACTTTTAAAAAAACAGAAACAATCCTTAGGGTGGTGGTGGCGCACACCTTTAATCCCAGCGCTCGGGAGGTGGAGGCAGGCGGATCTCTATGAGTTCGAGGCCAGCCTGGTCTATGAGAGCTGGTTCCAGGGCAGGCTCCAAAGCCACACAGAGAAACCCTGCCTCGGGGAAAAAAAAAAAAAAAAAGACAAAACAAAACAAAACAAAGCCCCAGAAACAATCATCAAGGCGGTGGTAGCACACGCCTTTTATCCTAGCACTCAGGAGGCAGAGGCAAGCACATGAGCCAACTTGGTCTACAAAGCAAGTTCCAGAATAGCCAGGGTTGTCACACAGGGAAACTGTCGAGAAACCCCGCCCCCCCCAAATAGAAACAGTGATAGAGAACAAAGTCATAGCCCCATATTACTATATAGATGATCTATTATATATAGTCACTAATAATGCGTGTAAGACAGCTGCCCAAAACTGGGCAGGGTCCAATAATAACAAATCACGACATATCTGCATAACACACTACAGTCTAATGAAAATTAATTACAGCTATGTATAGCAATATAACTGTAAGACAAATGATACATTAAGCACCAAAAAATGCATCATATAGTTACATTGTACATATTATTTCATGATCCATGGCATAAACAAAAATATAAGACTATGACAAGGGTTGGTTGGCCCTTAGACAACAGGGAAGGGTAGAGGACTTTACAATGTTATGTGTGTATTATATACTACAGACTAAAAAAAGACAATGATTAGAACTGACCTATATTTCTAGTGACACACAAAGATACACTGTTTACTAAAAAAAGGCTATAAAATGGGATCTAATATATGCACTTTCTATAGAAACACATATTTCAGAAAGGAAAGGCCACATAGGATAGAAAATAAAATACTGACTTTGGCTTTTCTCAAGAAGTCCAAGTAACAAATGAATTTTGATTTACTTTGATTTTTCCCATAGAGACCTTTTCTTGCCATGACCTTAAATTTTTAGAAGACATTGATAGAATAATAATGTTTCTTCCATTGCTTTGGCTCTTTTATTCCCAAATGGTACAGTTTTTCTCTTGATAATATGACCAGCACACCTTCAGTCAACTCGGTGTTGATCTGCTCATGCAATCCCCAAAGCCAAGTGATTATCATGCACTAGAAAGGCTTACATACTTTTCTGAAACTCTTCCAGTTTTTTAACAGCTTCATCTCGTTCTTGCCTAATTTTGTCACACTGAAATTAAAAAGAGAGAGAAATGTTAAATTCATCTGATAAAATTTAACCGTGACAAGGCGAGAAGCAAAAATAAATTTACACACAGCAGTTCTTTTTTCTTTTCCTTTTTCCCCAGACACAATAACTTTGGGGGCTGGAGAAACAGCTCAGCAGCTGAGAGAGCAGACTGCTCTTACAGAGGACCCCAGTTCAGTTCCCAGGACCCATGCCACGCAGCTCCAGGGGGACCTGGTGGCCTCTTCTGGCCTCCCAGAGTACTGTATTAGGGTACACTTACACTCACTTAGACAAACACATAATTAAAAATAAAATGAACTTTAAAAAAATCTTTCCACCGTCCCAGTACTACAGGTGTTGGTTGGTACAACTCATGGAGCAAGAGATGCACGCATTTTACCCAGCTGAGTTTCTAGGACTTTCTAAGATAACTAGTCATTCATAGCTCATGATCTCCTTGGTAAGAGACCAACTGACTATCCTTTGAGTTAAAATGAATTCCTCCTTTAAGAGACTACATATGGCCTGACCCACAAAAGAACCACTGAGCTGTCAGAGCCCGTCTTGGGGTAGGGAGATGGCCCAGTGTTAGGTAAGAGTGCTGGCTAGGCAAGTTTGAGGAGGATCTGAGTTCAAATTCTCAGCATCTACGCAAAGCTGGGCATGGGAGGATGGAGACAGTAGACTTTGGGAGATCTGGGGGAGAGTGACAGAGCATGACATCGGATACTCTCCCCTCCTCCATGTGGGCATGTAGGCACCTGCACACTCGTATGCTACACACACACACACACACACACACACACGCAGGCGCGCGTGCCTCTGCGGGATACACCCACAAAGGGGACACCACACTTGTAACAGGTGCACAGGGCTGAGTCAGTAAAGCTAGCCATCAGAATCTAGCGAGCCCTCTCTCCCCATGCATGAGTCAGGCTGGACCAAAGATTCTTTCCATCAGAAGACATGCTGCCCGGGGTTTCCTCTGGGAATCCATCCTCTGTAAAACACAAACAACCTGCCTCACAGAGTTCCTAGCTCCAGTTTACAGACACACCTCACTTGTTATTGTTGTCGTCGTCTATGTATTGAAAGTTCTCTTCAGAGAGCTGGATTCTTGAATCAGTTTTTCACACCTGAATGAGCAACAACAGACCATACAACCAGTAGCCATGACACTGCCGGGCAGCTGCTTCTGGAATGTTCCTCTTACTTTCTATACCTGTCTCCTCCCCACCAGATTATTGCCAGGCTGCCCAACACACTCCAATAATGCACAACAGAAGACACAAATAGAACCCAAGTTTTTGACAAAATCAGGGGACTCCAGTCATGGTCAACTAGGGGTGCATGGCTGATGTTTATTTGCTCATTGAGTCTCCATTTTGCCATCTATCCTTTCTGCAAGTACAAGGTCCTCGGAGGAAGATTCTTCATCGCGAGACAGTGCTCCAGGGTGGTGCAATAACTTCAAGTTATTTGAGTCTCTCATTGTTTCTCTCGAAATTTCATTTAAAGAAATTAAAGGTGTACCCAGCTCCCACTTATGCGCCCAGTTTTCAGCGAAACTTGACGAGAATGTAAACAGGGACTGGGGCTCAGCACTCTACCTAGGCAGACTGGAAAAGACCTTCACACAATAACCACCAACAAGTCTCCCATTTCCTGGTCAGAAATAATGTGTGGCCCTCATAGGCAGGCCGTTTCCAGCTATCCAGAGGGAAGACTTGATGCCGATGCTCAGTGCTCTTAAGACCCAGGTGGACACTCTAATTAATAACAGATCTCAGTCCAGGGTGCAAGGAAAGGATTCTAGGGAGTCCAGCACACACTAACCTCTAGTTGTCGACACAGCCACATGCTGTCTCCCAACCCCAGCTGTGCTCTCTCGGGGTCTTCGTGTTGCTTTGCTTTCTATTTTCTGCAACCGCATTATGATAGAACTGGCAGCCACTGAATTTACCATCTGCTATGTTGAAAGGCTGAAAGGGTGGGAGGGGTTACACACGAGGCAAACGCAGCTCACTGATTCCCCACCAGAACTGATGGAAATATGAGTACACTCCTGTACCAAGCAAGAACTCAAATGCCCACTTACAACACCATCCCAGGGGAAGTCAGACACATCCTGCAACCTTTCTCTCCATCTACCAACAAAGAGACATTACAGAGAACACAGGCCCTGCAGCAGGGTTTCCTCTTTGTGCCACAGAGACGGCCCATATCCATCCTACCCTCTCCTCTGCCCTGCTCATGCAGCTGTACCATCTGTAAAGTCTTTTTTTGTGCTGAGAATTGCTTGTGGAAACTTTGTAATAGCAACAGATGTTCTTTGGACGACATCACTCAACAATTCTCTATAGCTCAAGGCTGGAGCTAAACCCGGCAGCCTGCATGCTGGTTGCTTTAAGCAAACTGAATAGTGTTCTGGCCAGTCTGCAGATGCTGCCTGGCCTCTTTAGAGAATGGCAGATTGACTGGAGGTTGGTCTTGGTGGTTTCGAAGGCCCTTTGTGTGAGAAACCTAGGCGATTTTCCAGATCTCATCATTAAGTTCATCTCAGCCCGTGAAAGCTCACCTGGTTTGTGGAACCAGATCAGGATCTGAGAACACTGGGCTGCAGCGCAATGTCCTTCCAGCGTGAACTGGCACCTTCCCCACTCCCCGGCTACCTATCCGCCAACACTGTCAACTTAAATGTCTCTCTATCTGGGTTCAGTAGAAACTCTGAACTTCCATAGACAAGATTTACAATCTGCTGAATCTGTGACTTATGCAATAAAAGCCTCAACATTCCAAATTGTATCTGACTTCCACTAATGTCTTATCATCTGGGCACACACATGCAACACAACAGTCAGCTAGTAGAAAGGACAGTTTGGAGCCCACACACTGTCTCCACACACCTCGGGGATAGAAGACATCAGATGACCATCCACTGACGTGGAATTGTGAGCATTTATCTCCTGGAACCACTTGACAAAACTAGCGCCAGGCTCTGTGCTCAACCCTGACAGGGGCCTGGTGGGGAACATCGTAGATTCCATAGTTTCACAAAAGTTAGGACCCACCAACAAAAACCAACAATGAGAAGAGCAGGGTATAAGGACCAAGGACATGGGCTACAAGACAAGAAGACTGCAGACTTGTAGAGACAGAACTCGGCAGTTATACTGCCAGAAGTTAGGTTTTTCAGAAGCTCATTCCTCTTATATCCCAAGTCATGCTATTTTAAAATGGAAACTTATAGCATCAGAACCAGACGTCGGTGCCTGTTTTAGAATCTTCGGTGGGGGTAGTGAGAGGACCATCAAGTCTATTGTTATAACTAGGTAAGTCTGGCTTCTCTGGCCTGTGCTTTCTGGACATGTGCAAGGTTATCCTTCAGTACGTTCAATCATCCCACCACATGGAATTCCTTTTGCTCCATTCCTCTTTTGGAGTTCTTTTTCTTCTGATTCAAAGTTCTTTCCCTCCAATTTTCACAGGAGATAAAAGAGGAGTGGCTGCCCCCCACCCAAGCTGTCGTGCAGCAGTCTCCAAAGTCGAGGTATTGTGTGTGAGATGGAAACACATGTCATCAGAACTGAGACCCTCGCTCTTTGTTTCTGGATAGATTGCTGTTAATGAGAGACTCATTTTCACTTTCAAACTGCTAAGTAATTACTTTTTCTCTGGCACAACCACTTGCCACTCCATCTCAAAGAAGCCTCGTGTATGTGGATGTATTATGCATGAAGTTACCATAATGGATGCAGATCTTGCTCTTTAGAGTGGCTTCTTTATTGATTTTTTTTTTAAAAAATAAATATACTTGGGACCTTCACCTCTGAATATTACACGAGAGGATGGGATTGTAACAATAGACAACCGAGCCAAGATGCAAACACGATCATATATCTTGCTTCTTGAAGCAAGTCTCGGAAGTGTCTGCCTGGCTCTCTTTTCATTCATTGTTCCTGGCAGGCTGACAGAACTGTCTGATGCACTGTGACAGTAGCTCACCCAAACGACTTCTAATCAGCCACTTAAACATTTATGCATTTCAAAACTCAATCTCCGAACATAATATTAAACATAAATACTATTTAACGGTAGACATTCTTCTATTATACAGATTTCCTTCTCTCTCTCTCTCTCTCTCTCTCTCTCTCTCTCTCTCTCTCTCTCTCCACACACACACCCACACACACACACAACCACACACACACAAAC